TCCCAGCCAGCAAAGGGTCCTCTCTGGAAGCGGAGAGCTGGCAGCGGATCAGGAGCTGGGTGATGTCATGCAAAGGAAAAACACCAAAGGGCGTCGGTGGAGGCAGGGTGAGTTGGAGAGGACAGATGACACCTGCACGGCGCAGGGACCCGTCGACACAGCCGGGGGGGCTTGGGAATGCGCTGTCTGGGAAAGGACAGGGACCTCGGGAGCTCTGGCGTGACTTCTCCTTGCCACTGACCTTCTGAGTGACCTTGGGCGAGTCTTTCCCTCCCAGGCAGAGTCTCTCCCCGCGAGCGGGGTTGGAGAGGGCTGCGAGGAGCGTCAGCCTTTCCCCAGTGCCAGCACCCTGCAGCAGAGCCGGGGGCCCGGCCAACCCTCAAGTCAGCGCTTGAAGTCCCAGGGATGCTTCAGCCCTGCTCTCCCCAGGCTCCGGTCCAGGAGGGAGAGTCCCAGGGCAAGGCTGTGCCCAGGTCTGGTGGGCACGGGGAGCCTGCCGTGCCGTGGGCTGCTCCCGGGAGGCACAGGCCAGCAGCACTGGGGCCAGGAGGTGCACAGAGAATATATTTTTACTCCCTTTCCTCTTTTTTCAGTCATTAAGCCTCCCTCTGTGGAGGTGCTGGGCGGCTGGGCGTGCTCACTGCCCAGCGCTGGAGACCACCGGGCTTTCTTGGGCTCCTGGTAGCTGCTACAGCGCGCAGGGTGCCGGGGAGATGTTGTCACCTGAGCAAAGGTGCCGTCTGTGCGGGTCTGGCTTCAGTGGTGACGGCTCCGAGAGGCTCTGGGCTGTCTGGGGAGAGGCTGCAAGGTCAGCAGGGATGCAGGAGAGCATCCAGCTCCGCTTGCCTGCGTCGTGGGGGGGCCAGGGTAAGCCGCCTTCCCCAGACCCTGCTGCAGCCCAGATCTCAAACGACGGCTCCGCAGCGCTTTTCGAAAGGCTCCCGTGCTGTGCCCCGGCTGCAGCAGCCAGCACGTGTGCAAGGTCACTGGAAGGGACAACAGCTCTCTGGGCAGCAGCGAGGCTTCCCAGCCACGCTGGCCAAGGCTCTGCTCCAGCCCGCTGCACCCCAGGAGGACAGGAGGTCTCCCTGCTTTGTCACAAAGGCTGCGGAAGGGGACGGGGACGCTGCAGCTCAAGCGTCCGTGCACAGGCACAAACGCTCTGCTCCCTTGGTCCCTTCAGCGTCTCACCGGAGCCGGGTGCTGCCTAGCTGGGGACAGCTCAGCAAACCCAGCCTCTCACTTGCTCCAGGAGAGAAGCTGCTGGCCATCTCCTGCTTTCCAGGGTGTTTCTGGCCTGAAGTATCATCACGTTGCTTTTTGACCTCTGCTTCCCGTGGAAGCTCCACCACCCCAGGGGTGGGCACGGCTCCTAGGGGTGGCTGGAAGCACATGGCACATGGTTAACCCAGCAGGAATCATTTGACCTGCATCTGCCGTGACAACCAAGACCAGCTTGAGCTGCTCAGGAACTGGCCCTCGGGTTATTTGGCACAACTTTTTCTTGTAAAGGAACAGGGGCAGGACGTGGGTTTACCTGCTGAGGACCCCGTGTATTTCGTGACAGCTCTCACAGCTGAAAGGTGCTGTGAACCCCAGAGTGAGACCTCACGCTCGCGCCGGTCGCCTGACTCAGGTGATGCAAGGCTGAAGGAGATTTTCGTCTCTGCCCAAAGGTCTTTGGTTGGTGAAGCAGGCGCTGGCTGGAGGGTTACACCAGCCCCTGGATGGCCACGTTTCTGAAAACAAAGTTTGGCCAAAAACGTTGTGTTTGACCTGGGCTGCAGGGATTTTTGTGCTTTCTTTTGGCTCGACAGGATTGAGGGGTGCCACTGAGAGGGGGAGGAAAACAGGGACAGACCCCCAGAAGTTTCCTGCTGCAGCTCAAGTCCTTGGGGATGTTACAGGTGACACTGGCACATCAGCACGTTATTAACAGTGCACAAAGGTCACAGAGTCACAGAATGGTCAGGGTTGGCAGGGCCCTCTGTGGGTCCCCCAGTGCCACCCCCTGCCCAAGCAGGGTCACCCAGAGCAGGCTGCACAGCACCGCGTCCAGGCGGGGCTGGAATATCTCCAGAGAAGGAGACTCCACAGC